CAAATGCCATGACATAACTTACATATGGAATCTAAAGAAGAAAATACACAAACTCATAGATACAGAGGACATGTTAATGGTTGCGAGGGAAGGGGTATTGCAGGAATAGGCCAGGAAGAGGAAGAGATTGAGATGTCAAACCGCGTTGTAAGAGCAGTCATGGGAATGTGGAGTACAGCATGGAGGGTATAGTTAATAGTATCGTGATAGCTATGTGTAGTGTCGGATACTAAACGTGTCAAGATGACCACTTCATTACAGATGTCTGGTCACTATGTTATACACTTAAAACTGATGTGGTATTGTGTCAGCTGTCACTGAAAATTATACACAATAAACTCTGGTGTATATATACAGGGGTGCGCAAAAGTAGGTTAATAATAACAATAAATAATGCAATAATCAATAAACAGTAACTCAAGAATAAGCTGTTTTGTGTGCTCACAACTGTAAACCTACCTTTCCCACCCCTAGATAGAGTGGGATTAATTTTCAGCCATAAAAAATTAAATATTGCCCTGGCCAGTGTGCTATGTGGTTAGAGCGTTGGCCCCCAGGTGGGAGACAATTAGTCCATGTGTCTCTCTCACATCAATGTTTCTCTTTCTCCCTCTCCTTCCTCCTCCCTTCCACTCGCTCTGAAAAGCAATGGGGAAAATATCCTCCGGTAAGGATTAACACCACCAAAGGAAAAAAGGAAAGAAATCTTGTCATTTGTGACAACGTGGATGGACCTCGAGGGCGTTATGCTTAATGAAATAAAACAGACAGATAAAGACAAATGTATAATCTTTCTTATGTGTGAATTAAAAAAACAAAAAAAAACAAACAAATTGATGGTTGCAGGGGGTAAGGGTGGGTGGGATAAATCAGTGAACTTTTTTTAGTTTAAATAAATTGAATAAAGAATGTTAGTAGTGAAATATTACAGTAAAAAACTTGGGAATACAGATTAAAAAGTTTACAGTAGAACTATTTCAGCTTCTCTGCGAAAATTTCTCCTTTTAAAGTTAATTTTTGTTATCTAACTAGAGGCCTGGTGAACAGGATTTGTGCACTGGTGGGGGGGACGTGGCCTGTGGGGATCAGCCTGCTGTGGGAGCACAGTTCATCCCAGTCAGCGGAGTGGCACTCCCACTGTGAGAGCGTGCTGACCACCAGGGGGCATTCCCCCCTTTGAGCATCCGCCTCCTGGTGGTCACTGCTCATCATAGCAACTGGTCAACCAGTCATTCTGGTCATTCTGCCCTTTGGACGCTGGTCTTCTATTATATAGGATATTTAACACATGTACAAAGTGACATGCATGTAGTTATAAAACATAATGCTAAGTGTAGATGTATAGATTTTTTTTTCTGTGCACAGTTGTTAAAAATTTATATTGTTTACCACCTGTAACCATCTTCGTTGTTGTTAATCCTCACCCAAGGATAGTTTTTTAAAAATATATTTTACTGATTTTTTACAGAGAGGAAGGGGGAGGGAGTTACAAATATCAATGAGAGAGAGACATCGATCAGCTGCCTCGTGCACACTCCCTACTAGGGATGTGCCCGCAACCAAGGTACATGCCCTTGACCTGAATCAACCCTGGGACCTTTCAATCCACAGGCCGATGTCTATCCACTGAGCCAAACTGGTTTCAGCCCAAGGATAGTTTTGCTATTGATTTTTTAGAGGGTGGGGGATTGACCAGAATCAAATGCAGGACCCTTCAGTCCAAGGGCTGACACTCAGCTGACACTGAGCTAAATGGGCAAGGGCCTATAACCATCTTTGACTGCTCTTAGGAACTAATGATATGCTGAGAAGGAGTGGAGGAGTGGGGGAATCACTATAATCTATAATAATAAAAGGGTAATATGCTAATTAGACCAGATGTCTTCTGGATGTCATTCCACATGTCCTTCCTGAGGAAGCCAGAGGGTGCCTGCGGGCGGCCCGAGGGAAGCCAGTCTAGGTCCCACGTGCTGGAGGGCAGCTGGTGTCAGCAGCTGGGGGAAGGAAGGCCTACTCTTGCACGAATTTTCGTGCATCGGGCCTTTAGTTTAGAAATATAAGTGAAACTGGACTCAAAATTAACACACACACACACACACACACACACACACACAAACCCACACCTCTTTATAAAACTTGATTTCGCTTAAAAATACTCTAGGGAAGTGTTTGAAAAACCCTGAACACATAGTTTTAGCAGCAGGCGAATTAAAGACGCACACATATGAGCCTCTTCCTATAAGGAATATGCCCAGTACCCACACTAACCAAGTTCCCTTTCCCTGCAGAGGTACAAGTGCAACACCAATACCAACAAGAGCGGGCACAAAGGCAGAGGGAAACCAGAGACTCCCCCCGTCTGAGGAGCCCTGTGTTTCTGTGATTCAAGTGGGAATTTTACAAAAACGGATGAAGACTTTCTGCAACCGATTTCTCTCCTTAAATTAGTACATGAATGCTAATTTTAGAGACATGCACCTTGGGCTCTGGGTGCTTCCCACAATTCTAGGGCTCCACGAAAAATCCAGCACCCAGGCAGGGGTGCCTTCTCTCTCAGGGCCACCTGCCACAGCCAGGACCTCGCCTCGGTTCTGTATGGACATCAAGAGTCAGCAAGCCAGCAAGACCGCTGACATTCACAGTGGAGGCACTTAATGAAGTGGACAAGGAAGGAGCAGCCTGGTCCCTGACATCGAAGGGCACATCTCCCCGATAGAAGCTTCTCCACCCTCCTCCCACCTATTCCCAATCTGTGACCCCTGGAAGCCTCTCCAATGACGAAGCCCTAAAGTGCTGACAAGATCTCAAATACTACAGCAACATTTCAGTAAGAAGACAAAGCTGGTTGGTACGTTCCTCCATTCAGTTGATTGCTGGTCAGCAAACACACACTTCCCCTGCCCCTTCGCAAAACAAAAGTCGCAATCTATTCGAAAACAATCTATTTTAAAAGTAAAAATTTCCACGTGGCTTAGCGGTTGAGCATGACCCTATGAACCACGGGGTCACAGCTAAGATTACAGGTCAGGGCACATGCTCAGGTTGTGGGTTAATGGGATGTGCAGGAGGCAGCCAATCAATGAATCTCCCTGATCATTGATGCTTCTCTCTCTCTCTCCCTCCCTCTCTGAAACCAATAAAAAAAAATTTTTTTTAAAGCAATGATTCCCCCCACCACTCATTCCTGAGAAGTCGCTAACTCCAAGCTCCAGAGGGGGGGCAACAGCTCAGCACACCCAGGTACTATTAGACACCAAAGTGAGTGGGACTTCAGAGTGCCGGGGCGCTTGTCCTTGGGGGATCCATTTCTCCAGGACCTCATCCCTCCCTCCTGTCTTCAGCCGAGTCTTGGACACCCAACGCCAGCACTCCAGCTCCCTCCTCCCTCATCTTCTGGAAATAACCCAGAGGTGAGTTTTCACAAGACACAGGGATCCTGCATCAACTCCCATTTCCCAAGTCCCCTCGGCCAAAACCCAAGTTTCCCCAAGCGTCACCTGAAAACCCAACTTCTGGAAACGCCCCCTTACCTCGCCTCGCCAGCGCAGGCCGGCAGCGCGGCCACAGCCGAGCAGCAGCCGCGGGCGCTCCCACGGTCCCCGCCGCCGCAGCCTCCGAGGCGGCGGGAGGCTCCGGGTGCCCTGCGGCCGAGAGGACGGCCAGCCAGGCCCTGGGCCCTGCACCGCGACCCGGGGCGCCTCTCCTCCCGCAGGCAGGCGGGGAGCTTCTCCCGCGCCTCGCCGTGCGCCCGGGCGAGCCCCGGCGCTGGGGGCACAGCTCCGCACCCCGCGCCCGGCGGGCCGGGGACGCCGCCAGGCGCACGGCTCCGGCGCAGCGCCCGGGTCGTGGGGCGGCGGAGAGGGGCGTGTTCCGGAGCCTCGGAGCCCCAACGCCCGGTGCCGGCGGGACCCGGGAAGGCGGCGAGCCGAGCGCGTGTCCCTGGCGGCGGCTCCGGGCCCTCCGTCCCCCGCGGCCGGCCTGGCGAGCGCTGCCGCCGCGCGCCCCTGCGGGGACCGCCGCCGCCGGGCTCGCCCTGCGCAGCCGCCTCCGCGCCGGCCTCGGAGCCAAACTTTCCCAGCGAAACCCGCTCGTGCGGGGGCGCCGCGCTACCCCCCGGGTCCCCAAAACGGTGCGCCCCCTCCCCTGCGCAGCCGAGACCCACTGAAAATATGGCGCCCTCGAACGCCGTTCCTCGGTCTCCTCCGGGAATCCCGAAATGCCCGGCTCCGGGACCCCGGCTCCCCCGCGGGCGCGGAATCTCAGCCCGTGCGGCCCCCGAAGGAGAGGGCGCCGCTCGTCCGGGGCGACACGGAGTCCGAATCCTGCTCCTCGCGCTCCAGGCGGGTGCTGCCCCCGTGCCCCGGCGGGCGAGCGACCAGCAGTTTGCTGGTGACGAAATTATTGCCAAGTAAAGGGGGGTCGTGGAACAGGCAGGTACAAGCGTCCGGGCTGGGGAAGGGGCTGGGCACCAGCCGGCTGTCTCTGCCCGGAGCCTGGCCAGAGACTTGTTTGCAAAGTGGCGCTGGAGTCGGGGCGGCCAGTGCTGGAATGAAGCCGTTCCGCCCGCGCCAACTCTCCTGGCACGGGGGCCCGGTCGGGGCCGAGGGGGACACTCCCGGCGGGCGAGGCCGCTATTTCCAAGCCCCGTTACCGGAAACCCAGCGGGAGCTCCGGAGGGGACCGGCTGCCCGCGGCCAGGAATCCGCTCTGGGGCGCCGGCTGCGCGAGGCTTGTTGGCAAACCCGCTGCGCCCGGGTCGAGTGCCGTGAAAACATACATGTGCAGTAGGCAGGTGCATTGATTTTATTTTATTTTTTATTTTCCTGCAGAAAGCCCTCCTTACAGCATCCCATCTGGGAGGTGTGCGGTTTTTGTTTTTTTTTTTTTTCCCCTGCACTGGCATCACTCACGAGATTGCAAAAGGAAGAGGGGGAAAAAAAACCACCCACATTTTCCTTCTGTCGGGAGGGAAAAGACACGAGAAAATTCATGCAACGTGCATGCAGCTGGAGGAGGAGGGAAACCCGAGGGAGCCGTGCGCCTTACCGGGGGATGCATTTACTGTCTCATTGCAGAGCGCCTGCCCGGGAGTGCAGCCGGCGTCCCCCCCGCGCGCCCGGCGACCACTCCGCTCCCGCCGCCGCCTCAGCCCCAGCCGCCGCCGCTGGCTCCGGGCGCGGAACGAGAGCCGAGGGCGAGCGCGAGCGCACGGCCCGCGAGCGCGGGGGAGGGAGGGCAGGAAGCGCGTCATCACTCGGGGACGGCGCGGCCCCGCGAGGCTCCGCACGGCTCCGGTCCGGACGCGGCGCCCGGCGGGGCCGGTGCGGGGGCTCCGGGGTCTCTGCCCGCGGCCGGCGCTGGAGGGTCCGCGGGGGGAAGGCGACGCGCCGGCCGAGTTGTCGCGGGAAGAGGGGCGCGCAGGGTGACCCCGACTCCCCAGATTTGGACCTCTGCTGTGTAAGGGAGATCGGGGTGGGGTGGGGGAGAGTGGCATCTTTGGGAATGGGGCCCCTGGGCCCGCAGAAGCGTCTCCCCACCACTGCCCAGGTCCCCGAGAAAGTGTGGCAGTCGGTTCCCGGGGGATGACCCTGCGGGCTGTTCTGCAAAGGGAACTGGCGGCGGGGCTCGGCCTCTACACGTGTTGGACACGCAGACTCTGAGACTCTGCTGCTGGTCAGTGGTCACTTCTTAGGTCTTTTTGAGAACAGTCATCAGGAAATGATGCAAGATGACCTGGAGCGAGATGAAGGTTAAGTGGGGCGAGGAAACGAATCACCATGCACTATAGGATTCCGATTTAAAAACGTATGTGGAGGCAGAAAAGAGGGGGACAGATAAACACCAAGATGTTAACTAGGTCTCTCCGTGATTGGTGGAATTGTTGAGTGAATTTTCTTTCTCTGTTTAATTCTAAGTTACTGATTTTTCGGTAAGAAGCACATTATTTTTGTAATTTCAAAAAAGTTTTAAATAAGCAAAGGTCTGGCCTTCCCCCCGCCCCCCTTAATGCCAGTACAAAAGGACCAAAATAGAAATAGATAGCAAATCTCTCCAGTTACTCATAAATTAAACTTCTTCAACTTTTTGATGTTTAACAGAGCACGAAACTACTGTTGCTCTCTGAACGAGAGAGTGAGTTGGTTTTGTAAATTGAAACTATCTTGAAGCCCATTGGGACATTGGATAAGACTGGAGGTTCTGTATGAACAATAGCAAGTCTTTGTCCAAGCTGATGAACTTGGTTTTAGAATGGTCACAGAGATCTTTATAACCTTAGAGTACAACTTCGTTACTTATAGTAGAGAATAAATTCTATAAATCAAAAAGCAGTCAGAAAACCAATTAGTTGGCAACTTGAGAAAGTCCTCAAAGTTACAGGGTATAGACTGTTTCTAATTGTACAGATAGAATGTTTCTGCTCACCACAGCTTTTTCGACATTTACCAATCTAACAGAATAACTGGTGGAGGCAGCAAGCCACCTCAGGATGGTTAAGTAAATGTGTATTGATTACTGTAAGAGATAGGTAATAAACTCATTAGATTATGCCACCTAACTTGTCCCTTGGTTTACCGACAAAAAGGAACCATATTGTTGTGTTTCGCATGCCAGGTTTGCATCAAAAGAAGCTCATCAAAATAGAAAAGACTTTGCAAAATAATTTTTCTCTTCCTTTAGTCCTGGCTGGATAGGGCCCAGTGGCTTCCCATCAAGCATCTCAAAAATCGGTTCTTTTCCCAAAAAACTGGATTTCAGGATTTTTCGTCACGTAATTCAACCTTCTCAAAGTATCCCCATGATCTTCCACAGCCTGCCAATGTGTGCTGTTTAATGATAGACGGTAAGTCCCATGACAGCAAGGACCTTATCTGCATCTTCCTGCCTACATGAGTGGTACATAGCTGGTCTCAATAAATATTCATTTCATGAAAGTAGCATATTTGTTTCTTATTTACTTTGCTAGCTCCTAAGATATTTGAAAAGTTCTTTCTCCTAATAGACTGTCAGCAAAATTCTGGGATGATATGAGGTTGTAGGGTTAGAGCAGTGGTCGGCAAACTCATTAGTCAACAGAACCAAATGTCAACTGTACAACAATTGAAATTTCTTTTGAGAGCCGAAAACCGACTTCTGCGCATGGGCCATGAAGTTTCAATCACACTACGTGCTCGCCTGCACATGGTATTTTGTGGAAGAGCCACACTCGGGGACAAATAGCCGCATGTGGCTCGAGAGCCCCAGGTTGCCGACCATTGGGTTAGAGCCTTGGTTTCATCTAGTAACTTACTCTTTTCCAAATAGCAGCCAAACCCTAAAACAAGCAGAAGTGCAAAGTGCAAGTGTCTGTGTGTCTGAATTGCTAATCTAATTAGCACTATTTTTGGTTCTCTTCACATCAGTTAAACATTTCCCTCAGTGAGAAAGAATATTAATCCTAGAACTTTTTGCTTTAGTCCTGACCGCTAACCAACTGACTTTGGACATTTTTATCATCCCTCCGTTACTGTAACCTCTTATGACCCCAAAGCCATTTACTATTTCTTTAGAAAAACCAATTCTAACTAGTCTATTGCATAGCAGTATATTTTTCAACAATTTCCCAGTAGAGGTAAAATTGCTTTTACCAGTAACCAGTAAGTGCTCTGAAAATGAGACTCCTCCCTGAGGTCTGAAAAGATATTTCTAAATTTAGAGTTGGCTATTAGTCCTCTCTCTCTCTGTAGTAGTCACAGTGACCATAGTTTACTGTAGACCAGCAAAAAAATCTGTAAAACTCATTCCATCTAATCAATTTACCAAGCCTTCAGACTGTCTTCTTCCTGCCAAGCAGATCATCAGGAACTGGAAAAAATCACCACATTCAGTGTGAATAAAGAGGGCAGCATTTGGGGGAGTAAACCATTATAAATACATCTAGAACTAAAATCCATTTTCTTCCACAAGCTAGAGCTATAAATACCGGACCAGGTGTTGATTGGTGCTGAAGAGCCAGATGATACGCAGTTGCTCCCCTCCCCCCACTGCATTAATAGCCTTAACCTCCTGACTTCCTGTGTGCATATATAAAATTTGCTGGAGGATCAGCTGTGGGAAGTAACAAAAAAATATGAGTTAAGGCTCTTTAAAGGATTTAAGGTGAGAAAATAGTAGTTTATTGATTCGGACAACATTGGGTCTTAGCAGAGATAAGACTTAAATTAAGAGAGCAGACCAAGGATAGATGACCTAAGTTAATAAGCTAACCTATACTTGTGGAGTATAGTGACCCTTTATCTGGGCTAAATCTTCTCAGTTATACATGAGTTAGTTTTTTGTTTTGTTTTTTGTTGTTGTTGTTGTTGTTTTTAATATATTTTATTGATTTGTTACAGAGAGGAAGGGAGAGATAGAGAGCTAGAAACGTCGATGAGAGAGAAACATCAACCAGCTGCCTCTTGCACACCCCCTACCGGGGATGTGCCCGCAACCAATGTACATGCCCTTGACCGGAATCGAACTTGGGACCTTTCAGTCCGAAGACCGACGCTCTACCACTGAGCCAAACTGGTTTTGGCTATTTGTGGAGTATAAATAAGCAAATGAAAAAATAAGGAAAGGAGGACTAAAAGATAATATTGTTTCAGATTTATACTTTCCCCAAGGCAATCATTGCTTTCAAATCATTGCTTGCAACATAAATCAGATAACTGCCTTACCATAAGTCTTACTATGATTTCCCTTTGTGATAGCAGTATATACCTGAGCAAATCCAACTGTGTTCATATTGAAGGGAAAAAAGAAATTCTACCAAATATTTGTTCCATGTTTGTTTATAAGATCATATTCTGTGTGGTGTTGAGATATCTTCTCGTGGTTCTTTTAATACAATACACCAACAGTTTATGACATTATCCCCCTCTCAGAATTTTGTCCACTCCCTGGAAAAAGATGGATGTGGGAACCACATTTTCTACAAATTGCCTATACGCAGAACCAAGATGAAAGCAAGATACTCAGGCTGTCTTATTACCATTTGACATCTCTAGCTTTACAGAAACCTCTCCAATTTTTTTTAAATTACAAGTTCTAGGAGAGAATATTACTGATAATTATAGAGGGACTATTATCAGAGTTTCAGTGCAGCATGTAATTAAGTTACTTTCATTTTATTTGAAAGGCAGATATTTGACATTTTGCAAGAATTAATATATTTTGGGGTTTTTTTTTAAAATATATTTTTATTGATTTTTACAGAGAGGAAGGGAGAGGAATAGGAAAAGGAAACATGGATGAAGAAGAAACATTGATACACTGTGTCTTGCACGCCCACTGGTAATTGGGCCCCAAACTGGCATGTGCCCAAACCCAGAATCCACCATGACCTGTTTCATGAGTGGATGCTCAACCATTGGCCCACAATGGTTAGGCTATATTTTAGGTTTTTAGCTTTCTCTAAGCATGGGGTCTCACTTCATTCCTGATTATTCAGGATGGAATGATAGATGCAGGCTTAAATGTCTTTTTAAGAGAAGGTTGCTCACATGGATTTAGGAAACGATTGTTATTATTGTACCCAACACAGGACATGCTTGAGATTAATTTTTCTATTGTATATAAAACACTATGGAAGGTTCTTGAAATGTCTGAAGAAACATGCGGTCTGGAAGAGCACCAATAATTATGCTAAATTGGACTCATCTTTAATCCAAGTCACATGGTTAGTATAAACAATGTGAGGTAAGATGTTTCTTGTTTGGTCACTTATTGATTTGAGAAGAAGTTATTAACTGGTTAAAAATGTTTTTGAAATGTTTTTATTGGGTATCTTTCAAAATTCTTAATAGATATGAAACTTTTAAGTCTCTTTAGTCATTTGCCATCTTAAAAAATTGTTATATAGATAAGCATCTTTTCTTAAATGGTCTGTAACAGCAAAGTATTATAGAAAGTCTTATACTAAAAAATTTTTGGTTAAATATGGGGTCATAGTAAATTGCCCCTCTATCATTAAAATATGTTGAATAAGATTGACTTCGTTGATTCTGGAAATGTATTTACTAGAGGCCTGATGCATGAAATTCGTGCAAGAGTAGGCCTTCCTTCTCCTGGCTGCTGGCACCAAGGCACCGGCTTCCCTCTAGCACCTGAGACCCGGGCTTCCTCACAGCTGGCTTCGTCTGGAAGGTCATCCGGAAGGATGTCTGGTCTAATTAGCATTTTATGCTTTTATTATTATAGATAGGTGCCAGAAAACTCTTCAAACAATTTCTCTAGGCTAAGACCCACTTTAAAACTAATATGTTTATTGTGTTGTATAAAATATTCTATATCTATCTCAAATGGAATAAATATACTAAACAAATAAGATGATTAGCTCGTATTTGTCACTAAGTGTTTTTATTACATAATTAAAAGTGATGAACTGAAATATAGTGAGTATTGATAT